ATTGCTCGTAGTCGAAGTACTCATAATTGTCTGTTTTGGTCATTTTCAACTGTAATCTTTACTGGTATTATGCTCTATTTTGTGATTGAATCCATTCGGACATATTTTGATTATCTTACTCAAACAAACGTCGATGTTGTTATTGAATGGCCACAATATTTCCCAGCATTTACTATTTGTAATATATCACCAGTTCGATTCGATAAATTCATTGAACCATTTTTAAATTATTTAAAAGCACATAACCTGACGAATGTCACTGATAACAGCTCGATCTCATCTTATCAATCTTTATTGATCGGAGATTTTCTTCAATTCACAATTAATAGCAACAAACCTTTGAGAGAATTCTTATATCCGCTAAGTTCAATGTTGATACAATGTAAATATAATGGATTTACTTGTACAGCAGCCGATTTTCTTACATTTATATCTCCTAGCTACGGCCTCTGCTACACATTTAATGCAAAAGTCAAAAATAGGACTGCACGATACTTAAATGAAAACGGAGGCTATGGAAAACTTGAACTTCGTCTCTATACACATACTCATCAATATGTGCCTTTTCTCACGGACAGTAAGTAAAACAATGTCATAAAAATAGATTGTTTTCTGTATGTAAATAGGCGTTGGTATGGTTGGTATGATTCATGATAATGCTCAAATGCCATTGATCGACATAGCTGGTCTTCCTTTTGGACCAGGACGAAAACATAAATTATGTTTTACAAAAAGATCTTATTCTATTTTATCATCACCATACTCCCGTTGTACTGATCAAGTTAGTTTTGCCATGCAGACATTGTTCAATAGCTCTGGTAATCCTGACTATGGTTATTCAAAACTCACATGTGTTACACTTTGCATGCAAACATACACGTAAGTTTCAATATTTAAAACAGACATCGAAAATAATTTCATCAATAGATATTATTCAAAATCAATTGTTAGACTAATAATGAGAGGATTTTTACTATGAATTAAAAAGACTGGTCATGTTCGGATCAAATGCTCACTTTCAGAGAGAAATTAACGAATATAAAGTATAAGTTATTCATGACGTACCTGAAGAGAGATCACTAAAAGAAACACATCCTCTTAAAACTCTTAAATGGTTTTCGAATTCTCAGAAACGGATTAAAACGCCTTCCAACTCATAAAAAGCGTTTAAGCACTGTTGTCATACAAACTGTATTGAAGGTCACATGGATGGCTTGTCGAAAAAGATCCGATCATAAGAATTAAAATATAAAGAAAACTAAGACATTGCTTTACACTATTATTTGCCACTAAGATAACATTAAATCTCATCTAAGATAGAAATCACTATGAATTTATGTTGAACTTGAACTGAATCAAAAAAAAATTATATTGATGTTTCTAAGAATTTAGTTTTATGCAAAAAATCTTATGAATTTGATGAACAGATAAATACCTACTCAAGATAAAATTTCCTACGTTTGTTTTTAAACTGGTGTATGGATGACTGAGAAGGAACTGATTTTGAAAAAAAACATTTAGAGAAAATAAGTAGTTTGAAAACAGTTCGTTTATTGACGGATGGTTCTATTGAAAAACGAACAGTATGAAATCATTAGAGGTAACAAGATAATCATAGAAACTCAGTTCTATAGTTAGACATTTACATTTAAATTATTATTTGTCAAAAAAATAACTATATTAATAATTAAATTCGCTACATTAAACATATTAGTATTTTTTTTTAACTTTCAAAAAATATCTCAGCTCGAAAAGTTAAAGGTCACATCTGCAGACAACCATTACTTTTCAATACTCTATAATACTATGAGAATAAAAACAAATAACTTTTTGTTGCTATTCATTATCATCCATGATTAGCCATTATTACCTACTTGCCAATTCATGACTTCCTTAAATTTTTTTTCATAAATAAATGATATGTTTTTTATGTTATATTAATTTTACCTCTTAAAATGTATATAGTAGTTAGTTAACAATGAAATGCATTTAACAAATAATGCACTGAGTTTTTTTTTCTAAAAATATGTAAGTGTTGTGTAGATTTTGAGAGATGAACCCGATGTGACATGAAAAGATATGTGATATGAGCATATCAATTTTGTAAGTAAATACTAAGAAGCTAAAGAAATTTCAATGAAAAGTTTGGCCTTTCGATTCGGTTGATGCTATTTCTGTAAGATTCTTGGTAGACTCTTAGAAGCTATTATGAGAATGTTGACAGAAAATGATCTTAGCTTTGAGACTTCTCTGCCTTCCGTGAAGTTCTCAAACTATTACACTGATAGTTTCGTGTATCTTTATCACCAGTTGAGTTCGAACGGTGATGATCATAGAAATGTAGACTTTGGAAAAATTAAAAACTCAGGAATCAATATTACACTAATAGATTTATTTGTTTTCTCATGGTTATGCCTTTTTGGTATATATTTAAAATAATACCATGGTAAAAGAATGTATGAGAATTAGAAAACATGCTACAAAGGCAAAAAGTTTTTCAAAAACACATATTAGCATTGATTTTAACAATATAATTCGAAAATTCACCTTGATAAAATTTAATGTATGTTGAGAAAATAGATGATGAACAACTTCTATGATAGAAGACTACAGGTCATCTATCATGTTCTAACACAAACATTTTCGATGCAATATTTATCTGAGTTAATTGTTTAAGACACTAGAGTTATGTCAATGATGAATGAAGATTCTTGAAGAAATCCAATGGTGGTTTCGTGAAAATAATTAACTTTAATCATACTCACTTATTTGTTTTCCCAACAAAAGTTAACTAGAAACATTTCAATTGCAAAGGGTCAACGAATGTTTGAATAAAATATTTCGTTTTAGTATGTTACTATAGTTGAAAAAACTTATTGGTTGAACATTGAACTTGATGATTTCTATTTGTAAAAATAATTCAAGAAAAAGTTCCTCAATAGAAATGCATATTTCTGATGATAGATGTTCATCTTCTACCACACTAATTGTAGATCTGCAATCGAATCAGACTAAAAAAAATGAGTTCTTCAATTTTTTCAAGTTTGCTACTTCGAAAATCTCTACTGTCAGCTTCAAGAGGAAAAGTGTACAAGTTTTTAGGGAATTTTCTCTATAGTACTCAACTTTTGCAGTAAAACTATACTTTCGAATTTTGATTTGAAACTTTGCCTACATAAAGACTTCGGCTAGACTACCTGGTATAAAAAATTTTGAGAAGTTTTGAAAAAAGTCTCTCCGATATAACAAGTTTTCAAAAAATGCATGCTATATAAAATATCTACGGAAAAGTGTCTGTATCTCGGCGAGGCTTTGTTCAAAACTTCTGAGTGTAGGTGTGGATGTGAATGTGGATATAGGCTAGATACACCTACCCTACTATTATAATTCGATTTTTTTGATAAAAGTAAGACTGTTTCGAGAGAATAACGATTTTTTAGAAAACTTGACCAAAGATTGTTGAGGTCGAGGAATCTGAATCGCAAGATAAGTTCTCGGAATTCATGGACTGGTGAAACTCACTAAGGAAAGGAGGTTCTTTCAGAAAGCTTTTAGTCCACTATTGTAAGAGCAAAATATAGTGTTGTTCCAATCATATGAAAGAGGATTCCTGCTAGTAGATCGATCTGGACAATACTATGTTCTGCTCTTACAATAGTGGATTGAAAGCTTTGCGAAAGAAATCCCTTTCCTTGGTGAGATTCTTCAGTTCATAAATTCCGAGAACTGGTCTTGCCATTCAGATTCCTCGACCTTCAAAAACTTTTAGTCAAATTTTATAAAAAATCGTTATTCTCGAAAAAATCGAATTACAATAGTATGACTCTCACTCCTAGTTATAATCCCATTTTCTATCTTATTTTTCTAAATTCTATGAGCATCACAGTACCTTTTCAGCACTTATTGAGCACCTTTGAACATAATTTGATGCATGATGTCTGCACTTATTCCCTTGGTCAGTTTAATTTCAAAAAAAATGCGGAAACTTCGGATTTAAATCCGAGAGTTATGTGTACTTCAAAAAGTGAATTAGATAGATGAATCATCCTAGAATGTGTGGATATCAAAATTATACTGGGAAACCTTTCCTATAAACTGTTTATTCCTGTTGGCCATTGGTCCATCAATAGGGCTTGGAGGCGAATAGAGCTCAAATTTGAACTCTTCGCCTTGATTAACCCTAAGAAAGTCGTTTTTTCCTGTAACTTGATTTCTATTGGTCACTGCTCAACCAATAATATTTCGAGGCAAGTGGAGTACGGATTCGAGTTCTCCGCCCCAGAAAACCTCAAAGTATCAACTCTATGATCGGAAGATAGAGCTCGAATTGTGAGTCAATTAGATCGTGGACAAAAACGGAACCCATTTCCGTTTAATTATCTTTGTAATAGTTGAGTTAGCCTTCTTGTTACTTTATGTTTTATATACCATTTTGTAGCTCGTGAAATTCTCTATCGAATGGTATATAATAGTTGGGGTTTTATTTAACTATGATAGGAAAAGTTGTTTACGAAAGCCAAGATGGGTCAGTTTTCGCATAGGAAAAAATGAGTATTTTTACAATAACTCAGGAATGGTTCAGCCAATTCTTCTCATCTTCGAAGTCGACCGAGACATTGTTAAGACTGAACTGTGTAGAAAATTTCATCGCGATTGGGCTCTTCTTTCAAAAGTTATCGTGTTAACGGCCGGCCGGCCGGCCACACTGACCGATTCTAGAGTGTACTCACTTTTTGAGTACACAAAAAGATTTCCTTATTAAATAGGTATTATCGATGCGGCTGCGTGAATTTCTTGCAATGGTCATTTCGGTCGATTGTTCTACCTGGCACAAGTACTATTATTAATGCGCCGATTTGCAACCTGACCAATGCCTGTTATGCGACAGCCGCCAATGAATTCATGACCTTACCTAATATATCTGCTTATTTTTGTTCTAATTGTCAACAAGAATGTTCCACTAACGATTATCCAGTGAAAACATCATCAGCTTCTGCACCACCGGATTGGCTTATAGATCAAATAAAAGTATTTGTAGGAAATTCATTGATTACATTGCCCAGTGATTGGTCGACATCGTGGCGTACTCATATTCAAAATAGTTATGTGGCAATTGATGTTGTGCGAGAGTCAATGCTGGTCGAAAAATACACACAACAAGCAACAATGAGCGGAGTTGATCTTCTATCAAACGTTGGCGGTCAAACGGGCCTTTGGATCGGTATTAGTTTTCTTTCATTGGTGGAAGTTGCCGAAATGATCTATCGACTTATACGTTATCAATATCATTTCTTTTATGATGCTCATAGAAAAGAGACACCAATCGAAACAATCCATGAACAAAATTAAAACGCTATTAACTGATTATTTTCCACAGCCTTTACAAACTTTTGCTTATTGTCAATAAAGTTCGAACTGAAAATAGAATCTGATACTCACTGATGATCCAAAAAACAAAACGAAGATGGATGGATATTTTTTGGAATAACTTTTAATAGGAACAGGATAGAGAGCTGCAGTTTTCACCATTGAAAAGACACTTATTCAATACATCCATTTATATAAAATTCTTGAGATTGATTTCATGAATAACTAGTGATCCATGATCATCTTGAACAAGTAGACTGTTGCTTTATAAAGGTAGAAGAAATCCTAAACTTTGAGGAGTAAATTAGAACCACAAGCTGATAAGTTACAAATTTACAAAAGGCCGAAACTTTTATCTCAATTCTTTTAAAAGTTATGAGCCAAATACTAACGATATTTGATCACGTTTTTGTCAATTTTATCTTGCGCAAACTATTTGTCATATTATTAGAAGAACTCTTTTTCTATCAAAATATTATTGCTTACAATTGTACAATATTGCTGTCATATGTTACTATATAGTTAACTTGAAATACATACATTATATTTTTCAAGTGCTTATGACTAAAAGCGGCACATTAAAGACTGTACATAGATTAAATCTAGTGGCGGGACAAAAGGAGGCTATCAGGGGCTGAACACCTCCAGAATTTTTGAAAAGTTTTTAAGAGAATTGATAATTTTATATAGAAGTGATGTCACAGCATATCGATTCCTGCACTGCAGAAGTTTTGGTTCACTCAGTTATTAATAGAGTCCATCTCAAAGCCATTCTCTTTTTTGTGAGTGAAAGACAATCTATGAACTCTAAAAACGGATCCTGAAAAAACATTGGACAATAGAATTCTTTTCACTGTCTACTAATAAAAAAACCAGGTAATGATGAAGAACAAACAGAATCAAACTTTATTATATTATCTTCATTATTATCATATGAATCTCAAACACTGTTTTTACTACCTTTTTCTACTTTGTTTTAACCATCTAACTATGTGTGATCTTGTTTTGAACATGGCATCATTTTCTCTCACAAACTGTTTCTTTGAACGACAGTTTTCAAGCAATGTTGTGGGTATCAGCTTCGGGTTCCGTTTCTATGGAGCCAGAATCCGTTGCAGATTTGGTGTGTGGATGTAGATGAAGACTTATCACGCATACCCAAACCACACTCACATCCTCTGAATGTAATTAAATTTAAGAATATTGGTGCATTTCTCTATTTGATTATCATTCATTATAATAAATTATTACTTTATATTTATTATTTGTGATTACATTAAATTAATTTTCAATTAGTTAAGTTATTGATCATAAAGTATATTTATTGTACTTTAGTTAAATTGTTGTTATTTAATAGACACGATTGCTTTTATCAATACATATATTGTCATAGAAAAAGAAAAACTAGTAAAAACATTTTCTTAATATAAATATCGTCAATAATCACTATTGGAAGGGTTAGTACTGCTAATGTGCTTGAAGTCATTTTTATTTTATTTCTCTGTAGAAAAACATTTCATAAATATATATATGTGAAATTACTTTTCTTTTCAAATAATACAATGATTACCAGTCAAGTAAGCAATTAATAGAATTGCTTGTTTCTTTTTTGAAACATTTGCAAATTACTTCACTTTATCAGGACAATATGTTTGTCACTTCTTAATAAAAAAAAAGAAACCGTTTATATTTTTCAATTTATACAGTGTAATTACA